GGTCAAGAGATCGAGGCCATCCTGGTCAACATGGTGAAACCCCATCTCTACTAAAAATACAAAAAATTAGCTGGGCATGGTGGTGTGCGCCGGTAATCCCAGCTACTCAGGAGGCTGAGGCAGGAGAATTGCCTGAACCCAGGAGGCAGAGGTTGTGGTGAGCCGAGATTGTGCCATTGCACTCCAGCCTGGGTAACAAGAGCGAAACTCCATCTCAAAAAAGAGAAAAAGAAAAAAGAAAGACTTTAGATAAATTAACAGAGTTAGTTAAACAAAGAACAATTGGAGAATTGGGCAACCCCACCATCAGAATAGGTTCAGAGCAACTGGTGCTGTCATGCATCAGAGAGGATTTATGGGCAGAAGAAAGTAAGTGATGTAGAGGAAGCAGAAGTGAGATACAGAAACAGTCAGATTGGCTACAGCTTGGGGTTTGCCTTATTTGACCATGGTTTGAACAGTTGGCTGTGGTAATTGGCTGAAATCTACTTGTTACAAGCGTTCATTCGTCTGTTTATACATCCAGTTAGACTACAGTTCACTAAGTATGGAGAAATCTTTAGGCTAAAATATGTAAGGAGGCAGCTGTAGGCTAAACAATTTAATAGGTTTTACATAGCAACCCTTGACCTGATTTGCTTTCTAGTTAAAAGTAGCTAATTAAACTTACTTCACCTTCAGTAGACGAGCTGAATGGGTAAAGCTAGCATGATGTAAAAATTATGACATTAATTTCCCTACTCTCTTCCTTCTTAGAATTCCGTACCTTCTGAGAACCTGTACTTATTTCAATGGATAGTATGGATTTATAAAAAGATGCATGAAGGCATGACTGTTTGCATCCCCGAAAAATTGTAATATAACCAAAGTACACACAGTAAGTTTCTTGTGATATTTTATTCTTCGAATGCATTTAAAATATAATTCCAGGCCAGGCATGGATGGCTCATGCCTGTAATCCCAGCACTCTAAGAGGCCGAGGTGGGTGGATCAACTGAGGTCAGAAGTTTGAGACCTGCCTGGGTAACACAGTGAAACCCTGTCTCAGGTGTGGTAACACGTGCCTGTTGTTCCTGCTGCTCAGGAGGCTGAGGTAGGGACATCATTTGAGCCTGGGAGGGCAATGCTGCAGTGAACCATGATCTCGCCCCTGCATTCCAGCCTGGGTAACAGAGTGACAACAGCCTGTCTCAAGAAAAAAAAAAAGAATGTAATTCCAAAAATTCAAAATTTGTTCAGGAAGACAAGGGTAGGTATGTTTGTTGATTGTCTCTCTCATATCCATTCCCTACCTCTCTTTTCCTAATAGATCTGGGATTTCCCAGAAAGGTAGTTTGGGTGAAATAGGTTGTACCCATCCAGGTCCTGGAGCAGACCCTGACTGGCTTAATCTAATTAGAGTGATCTACCCCTCCTAGTCACATCAGTTGGTGCAAGGATGGGCACCTGACTACAATCTTGCCAATCAAAGCCAGCAAGATTCAATTAGGGGATTTTGGTTAAGCTATTAGAGAAGCAATGCCTTCCTGCTGGATCTAGCCGGCAAGCATGTAGCTCTGAGAGCTTCTAAAAGTCTTTTGGGATCAGAAGAGGAGGCCCTAAGAATAGAGCCATTAAACACCAAAGTGGCAAAGCTAAGAGGTGAAGAGGAGAAACTCGGTCCTAGTTAGTGCTGAAGCCAGGGATACAGCCTCATTTTGTAAAACTGCTCTACATCAATCAATACATTTGCTTTTCTGAGCCAGTTTGGGTCAGGTTTTCCTGTCATTTGTAACCATAACACCTTATTTTCAAAAATCTACCTTATAAAAGGTAACACACATGTCTAAAACTTCTTTTACTGATCATTTAAAACTAAGTTTCATTTTCATAATGAAATCACATGAAGAACCACAAAATACTGGCAACGCCCACTGCAGAAAGGAAGTGGGTTATTTCCACCACTCACTAGCCTTTCTTTTCTCTTTTTTTTTCTCCCTTTTCCCCCACTCTCTCTGCCTCTCAACTTGCAAAGGAAACACTTGGGTAAATCCTATTTGGCCAAAGTCAAGTGCACTGAAGACTGCATTTGTTTTTCGGGAAGGTGCTGAGAATCTGTGTCACTCAGTGAGTATGGTGCCCTGGAGTGTTAGTAATCTAGATTTTCCTTCCTTTTGTGGGTAATTTGCACCATGACTTCTTAGCTATCACTCTCTGCCTTTATAATCCGCCATTTTTATTGAGTGAAGAAAACACAGCCTTAATTCTCCCTTGTCAGGTGAACCCTGGACATGTGTCAATGCCAGCTACAGCTGCCACAAGTATCATGAGTCCACGTGTTCTCTTCTTTCTGGATTTGGGGGCCCATTTTGAATCTTTTTGAATCCCTCACTACAGGCAAATATTTTTAAATGTCCCTTCATGATGATGATGTTAATGTAACTGTTTTGGTACCTGATTAAATCCAATTTTGCACATATCTGGTGTGCATTACATGGTAGTTATCCCTCTATCCATGCCACCCCTTCCCTGCCTATTGTGGGGTGCTAGGCAGTTGCATTGGACTGTGCCTTAATTGTTCAGCAATTAAATTTCCCTGTCTGCACAACGGACTGTGTGAGGTTCTTGAGACAGAACTAGCCCCACAAAGAGTGCTCTGACTTTGCCTACCCCTCCCCCCATCCTCAGCTGCAGGGCCTCAACTACTCAACTACAGCTCTTAAACAATGTCCATAGTGTCATTCATCAATTCCATGAAATTCTTTTTTTAAATGTTTTCTTCCCAGTAACAGGGACATATAGGACTGTGCTTGGCTGTCTTTCCCAGTTGGGGGAGTATAGGTTGTCTCCTATATCTGATGTTTTGCTTTTGGTTTCTCTCCCTTATTGACTAGATTGCTTTAGGGATATGGCGAACGGTTCCACAGATCCAAAGTTCCAGCAGCCTGTAAGTGCATGCTGTCAGGGTGACCTCTGGCAGTGTGTGGCCAGGGGCACCCTCCATGGCAATGGCCTCATGTGGACCTCAGTGAGCATACAGTCCCTAAGACCTGCATTTGAGGGCCCTGCCCATACACACACACACACACACACACACACACGCACACACACACAGACACGAATAAATTTATTAAAGAACATACAGACACCTCAGTCACTTGGAATGTGGCATTCAATGCTGCCTTAGTGGGATGTATAACCTCGACATCCATTTTCATGATTGACACCATGCAGTCAATCATGAAAATGGATGTCGAGGTTATACATCCATTAGGGGAATGCTTAGCTCAATCCCCTAAAAACAAAACGTTACAGCCTCTCAATGCCATGAAGAATGGTGACACTGCTAATGTTTGAGACTAACATTATGTCAAATCCAAGAAAACCTAGATTTTTTTTAAAGGTCAGCTTGTCAAATCCTTCTCAGACAGCATGAATGCAGTGATTCCTGCATTACAACGTACTGTTTCCCAAGGGTGAGAATCGTCCATTTTCTTGCTTCTGTCAGTGTTCCAGTTTGTCGTTCCAGATGTACTCAAGAATTAGCATGGTTTTGCAACAGTGATACGTGGCACTTAAGGAGTGGCAGTAACTCTTTTTACTCTAAAATTTCTAGAGGCTGGAAATCCTGTATGGATTTGATATAAGGAGGTACGGTACAATTTGCAAAATAAGTAAAAGCAACTCATATGACAAAATTATTTTGTATTTTTCTGTAATAATTTATCATATTGGTTCCACGATAATGGATGACATAATGTTTAAAATTCATGAGTTATTTCTAAACCTAAGGATTTCATTTTAAAAACAATTCTGTTGTAAACGCTTCAGCAAACTTACTCCAAGTTGAAATGAATAAACTACACTCTAAGAACAATAGTGACTCAAGGAAGGTTGTCTAATTTGGCATTAAGAACATAATACTGATTGCAACGCTATATGAAGGGGTTTTGTTAAATTAGAGAAAAATATGGAAAAAACATAAAAATGACTTATGTCTTGAATATTGCTTGTCTTTAGAATATTAGTCATCCAGATATCACCAGGCCATCATCAGAACAGTGAGATTTCTGCGATCATGACTAAATCCAGTCACCGTTGATGTTCTGCTGACATTTGGTCATTTGAAAGCCAAAGCTTTGCAAGAATAATTGGCAATGTGAGAACAGAACACACTTCAGCAGCGTAATTTGTAACTTTTAAGTATTTGGGCATACGGCATATAGGCCTCCATTTCTCCTCCTGCCCCATTGCGCAAATGTTGGTGGCGGGCTGGAGTGAGTGGTACCCGGATCCAGGTGTCGGGGGGGGGCGGGGGGGGCTCTCCCTTGGAGTCCCGCCGCGCAAGACTCCGGGGAGCGGTCCGGCAGGTCCCAGAGGCCCCGCCCCCGCCGCCCACCTCCTTGGGAATTGGCTGCTCAGGTCCTAGGGGGCGGCCCCAGCGTCGGGATGAAGTCCGGCATCCCGGACGCGGGCTGTGTGGGGTTTCCGTCACTCGTGGACAAAGCGCCGCGCGCTGGCGTTGCGGCCCGGGCGGAGATCCCCGTCCCCTTCCCTTTCCTTCCACACCGGCTCGCTCACTCTCCCTCTGCGCCTTGCCCTCCCCCAGACTCCCGGGTTCGGCCCCTTCGGGGGAGGGTGGGGCGCTTGGGTTTCCCGGCCTCGCGTGCGTGTGTCCGAGCAGCCCCGGGCGGTGGGCGAGGACGCGGCTTGGGGACCCAGGAGGGGCCGGACCACGGGGTCTGCAGGAAGCGGAGGCGGCCGCGGCTCGGGGACCGGCTCGGCAGGGTGAGAGACACCCGGAAACGGATTCCGCTTCGGGGCCCGCGCGAGCCGGGTGCCTCGGAGGGCGCGAGAGGAGCGGGCGGGCGCTGCTGAGTAATCCCCGCGGCGGCGGCCGGGCGCCCACCTCCCCCGCAGCGCTGCAGCCGGGCCGCGGCTCCTCCCTCCGCGGCCCTTTCCTCCTCCTCCCTAGTCTCCTCTCTCTTCCCCTCCCCTCCCGGCTCTGCTCCGCTCCGGGCAGCTAGAACCCGGCTTCGGGCGCGCGTGCGGCCGCAGCAGTTGCTCCCGACCTCGCCTCGGCCCGACGCAGGGCCTCGCGCGCCCATGGCCGGCTCCGAGCAGCAGCGGCCTCGGCGGCGGGACGACGGAGACTCGGACGCGGCGGCAGCGGCGGCAGCGGCTCCCCTGCAGGACGCGGAGCTGGCCCTGGCCGGCATCAACATGCTGCTCAACAACGGCTTCAGGGAGTCGGACCAGCTTTTCAAACAATACAGGTGACCCACGCGCCCGCGCTCCCCTAACCCGGCCGCGCGCACTTCGTGTCCGGCTCACGCGCCTAGACCTGCGGTCCCCAGCAGCCCCCTCCCCCTCCCGTCGGTCACCGATTCCGGTCCCCAGGTCGCCTTCCCGGGCAAGATCTGCAGCCGGAGCTAATGCGCCTCGGCCACATTCCCCCTGTCCACCTCCACCCCCGGCTCCCTGGTCCTTTCCCTCCCGGGACCCGCCGCGCGCCCGCGGTCTCCCCTCACTTTCTCCCACCCTCGCCCTCGCAGAGATGTGGCTTCTCTCCGCTGGGCAGCTGGCTTTGGGACCGGATGCAATGTGAGGCAGCAGCGAGCTTGGAACGCGGACTTGTGGTGACTCTGGCTCTCGAGCTGCCCTGCCAGCCTTTGTGACACCGAGCCCACCAGCTTCCTGCTCCTCGCGCGTCGCATGGCTCTGCATCATTGTGCATTCTAGACGCTTTTATTGTTTGAAAACAGATACCCGCACGCTTGCTTTGCAGGAATTAAAAAATTTCAGCCCAACTCTGCCCACTCATCTCTCTGCCTTGTATTCTACAAACTCAGTCCTTAAAATGAGTTCCTGATGTCTTTCAAGCAGGCATTATTTATTAAGAATTTCTCCAACGTAAAGAAAGGAAGAAGTTAGAGGGAGTTTTAAAAAGTATATGAGAATGGTAGGAAAACATGTGTGTTAGGTTAATTTTTTTCTTTGTCTTTAAAAAAAATAAAGCGAAAGAACTGAAACCTGGTAGCTTTCCTGTGGGGGTGGAAGGAACCTTCATTTCCTTGGGGACCTGGCGTGTCTGTTCTGGGGTTGAGGAAGCAAGTTTGTGATATGCCGTTTGCTTGATGACAAGCCGTAGGGATATTGATGAGCAGCTTTACCCAACACGTTGAGGGGCCGTGTGCTTCACACTTTGGAGACCCTATAGTCTGGTTGGAACGAGAGGATCAACATGCAACTGTGACCGAGAGACAGAGTCTGTAAGAATGAGAGGAGAGGGAGTGTATGATGTCTAAAGTCTCAGACCTCAAAGAATGGTGGTTTCTACCCAGCAGAGCTTCCACCTTCTTGATGGCCAAGCAAATATCTATGAACTTTTCACTAAAGCCCTTTTATTTTTCAATCAGGGATTTCCCCCTGTTTTCTGAAAACAACAACTTCACTTTACTTAGAACATTTCATTTTTGAAGCATACAAGTCTGGTTTCAAGATGGAGTTGCATGAAAGACTGTTGATGGGGGATTCAAAAGATTTACTTGTCACACAATAAGCCCTCAGGAAGAAAGGTCTGAATATTTCCTATACTGTACTATGCTTTTTTTAGACTACTAGTTTGTGTTGCATGAGAGAAGGATGGAGAGTCTTAGAGGCAAATTACTCTTTTTAGTTGATGATTAAGGTACTTGTATATTTAGTACTTCTTGCTCTGAAGTCTCCTGTAATACTTACTTTAATGGTCTTTTTTCCTCTTCCTTTTCTGCCTTAGGCTGAAATACTACCTTTACATTGAAAGCATGACATTTTTGCTTTATCTAGACAATTTTTTTTTTTGAGGTGGAGTTTTGCTTTTGTTACCCAGGCTGGAGTGCAATGTCGCGATCTCGGCTCACCCCAACCTCCGCCCCCTGGGTTCAGGCAAGTCTCCTGCCTCAGCCTCCTGAGTAGCTGGGATTACAGGCACGTGCCACTGTGCCAAGCTAATTTTTTGTATTTTTAGTAGACAGGGTTTCACCAAGTTGACCAGGATGGTCTCAATCTCTTGATCTCGTGATCCACCTGCCTCGGCCTCCCAAAGTGCTGAGATTACAGGCATGAGCCACCGCGTCCGGCCCATATCTAGACAATTTTATTTACTGTTAATAGAAGGCAGTATGTGAGTGCTTGGAGAACTCACAGCAACAGCAGAGAGACGCCCCTTCAAAGGTATTTCTCTGTGGGTGAGTGCATTTTGGATGTGTCCAGGGAATATTTACCTTTTATAGCTAGGTAATGTCTGCTTGTATTTTGATATGGGAACTGAAGATAAAGAAGGGAAAAAAATTGTAGTACCTCTTTTCTGCCAAGCACAGTGCTAGACACATTCCCTTATATATTCTCACTGTTGTGATGACAACAGAAAAGTGAGATGTATCTTATCATGACAGTTTTATAATGAGGGCCATGAGACATAGTTTTTGCTATGGACCAGGGCACAAACACTATAGTTCTAAATCAAGGATTCTTTTCATTTTACCATTCTGCCTCCCTCACTAAATTTATAATAATTTGTCATCTGCTCTGCAATTTTTTTCCCCAGCAATGTTAAAAAGCTTTTTTAGAAGTGGTAGGAAGGAAAAAGACAGAGGTAGACAGAGATGGTATCATCCTATCAGCTTTCCTTGGCCCCATCTGATTTGTTGGTGGTATGGATGGTCATTGCATCCTTCCCACCTCCTAAAATATGCTTCTGATGTATGTTCTGGGAAGCACAATTGCATACAGGTGTGATCATGGACCAGCATTCTGCAACCTGGGTTCCAGTCTTCTGCCACTTTTGTAGCTGCTGACTTTGGTTTCTCAAAATTTACTTCCTTATCTATAAAATAGGAGTAACAGTAAGAGTACCCACATTATCATGTGGTGGTTAGAATTAGAAGTCAGAATCCAAGGCCCCTGGCTAAGTTTAAGCACTCAATAAACTCTGGCTAGCTTCAGTACGTGGTGCCTTCTCCGCTAGTATCGTGCTTTCTTATTGCGCTTAGTATTGTGCATAGTTTGAGTACAAGACATGATGTCTTGTGTGCAGGTAGCTTTTCTATTTAAAGTTTATCTTAAGTATTACAAATGAAGAATCTAAGATTCTGTTATGCATTGGGAAACTTCCCTTTCTGATCCAAAGTTAAATGGCCTGCTGAAAGCTCAGCAGTGACTTGATAAGTGTTTAAGGAGCACACCCCTGGCTCATTTTAGCTACAGAGCAGGGTTAGGCAAATTACCCTGTCTCCTTATTAAATGATTGTTTATCACGGGGGACACCATTCCTCTACTAGTAGACCTTCCAGTCTTACTGTTACAGTTTAACTGTAGAAACATATTTTGTATCTACCATAACAATATTTTTATTAAAGCAAGAAGGTCATTTTCTCATGCCACCTTACTGTAATGAAGAAAGTGTATCAACAGCTGTCTGATGAAAAATGGTTACTTTGTAGAAACAGATTATGGTGAAGGCCACTCTGAATTAGTGGAAAGTCTGGATTGTATAATTCAGATATTATGCATGTAGGAATTAGAAATACATGCACAGTAGAAGCCTTCTTTTATTTTTTTTCTGAGACGAAGTCCTGCTTCGTCACGCAGGCTGGAGTACAATGGCCCTGTCTTGGCTCACTGCAACCTCTGACTCCCGGGTTTAAGCAATTCTCTTGCCTCAGCTTCTGAGTAGCTGGGATTACAGGCCACTGCCACAATGCCTGGCTAATTTTTTTGTATTTTTAGTAGAGGTGGGGTTTCTCCACATTGGCCAGATTGGTCTTGAACTCCTGACCTCAGGTAATCTGCCTGCCTTGGCCTCCCCAAAGTGTTTGGATTACGTGGGTGAGCCACCACGTTTGGCAGTAGAAGCTTTCTTTTGGAATATAGGACAACTCCCTGGTTGGGATTTGAACGGTAGCTGCCTTTCTATTGGAACTATAGTAATAATGTAGCAACAAGCTGCCCTTTGGTGGTGCTGAGCCACCATTATGCATTTTGTGATGTTTTTCCAGAGGTCAGGATAGATTTGTCCTGCTTGAGGGCTCTTGTGCTTTGAACCCAAGTCCAGATATTTGTACGTCCATTATCTTGACCACTTGAAGTCAAGTTCCTCAATACTCAGTGCTCTTGTCTGGCCGTAGTCACTCCCCCTCCACACTCAGACACTCATTCTCTTCTTGCATATGTGACATGCATTCAGACCTTTAGTTGCTCAAGCACATAAGATAAACTGTGGGTTAGGTGCAGAAGACTGTGCTGGATGTTCAGGTGTTGCAGTGTAGGTAAAGCTGATGGTGATAGGAAGGCTTGGAGACATACCCTTGATCCCCTGGAGCTTGTAGAAGAAAAGAGAAGCAACATCCAACCCAGTCTGAAGGACAGTTTTGTGGAGGAAATGACACCTGAGCATTATGATGGGGTAGAAGTGAATCAGTTGAATGACTTGAGAGGGGCAGGGGAAAGGGAAAACGAGAATGTGAGAGGTGCTGAGATTTAAACAGAAACCTAGGAGAGGAAACAGTGGAAAAACTCATGTGGAGACATGAAATGACCTTGGGAAAAGAGTGGTCAGAACTGCACGCTCACTAGTATTACTAGGCTGTTGCATTGGATGGCTTGTTCTATACTTTTCTTCCTACCACTGGTCAGTCCATGTTTCCCATGAGTCAGTGCTTTTTTCAGGGTTACTTTGCTGCCAGGTGTCTCATCAACTCACTTTTCACCATGGCCATTGTCCACAGTGTGGCTTGTCACAGCCATAATTCACTCTTGGCTCCTTGGGACTGCAGGATCCTAATATCACCACCTTTTTTCTCCTTATGGCTTGAAATACTACTTTTTAACAGAGGACTGGCAGGAGTGAAGCACGTGGAGCCCTGAGGAGCGTGAGACATTTGGAGCTCCTGACCCAAATGAGCCTCGTGATTCTTATTTCTGCTGGCCTGACATAAAGTCTCCCTCCTCTCCCTTGAGGTCACCAGCCCATCTCCTGCTTTAACTCTTGGCATTCTTTTTGATTCTCAGACTTTTGCAGTTCTTACCTCTGCCAGTGCCACTACCAGTTTCTGGCTGTAGATATTATTAAAAAGTCCTACTTAGTCATTGTCAACTAAAATAGGAAACATATCATTATTATGAATGTTTATTGGTACATAGTTGCTATGAATTGTGGCACTTTTCCATTTTTAAATTATAAAATGGCAAAAGCTATATTAAAATAAAAAGCAAGAAAAATTCATGGTAAGAAATG